GTCACTGTGTGATATTTAACAAGACCCCAATCAGCTAAAATGTAAAATTGCAAATAGAAACACCTGTAAAGGTTCCCGAGCCTTTAAATGGTCTCTCAGGCTAGTTACATTACAGAAATAAATGTAATTTTGCACAGTATTCTAATTTTTCCAGCTTCACATAATTGTGTGTTTTAGCAGCATTTCTGTTGCTAATCTGGTAACGGTTAAATAAATAAATAAATATCCTTTAAAATGACACTAGAAGAGGCACAAGCCTGATGGAGGACTCACATTTACTAACTTGGGTCAGACCCAACCACAGAAGAGCTGAAGCTGGGTGGTGAACACACACAGGTAGTTCTGATAACACCTGAGCTCCATGACGTCTGAGACAGATGCATCAGTGTTACAGCGGGACTAAAGACATGATCAGGAACAGGTTACAGCTGGATGATCTAGGAAGGTAGAAGATCAGGACGTCTGAGCGGTGAACAGACCTTCGGGACGTCCCGCTGTCACGCTAAGGGCACGGCTGCAGACCCGCAGATTCGCTGCTGCAGCAACGAATCTGCGGGTCTGCAGCCGTAGACTATTCATCACGTCTTCCTCGTTCTTCACGGGCCGTGATGCTCTTAAACATCTGCCTCTATAGTTCCTGATCAGCTGATGACAGCTCCAACACACCGCGCAGCTTAACGCACGCATTTCCTTATCAGTAACAGAAATGACGTTTTGATAAAAGAAGACGTAATTAATTAGTTTGCTCGTTACAGAAAGAAATATTTTTTATTAACGCGGTTATTTTAAACGGAGTTATTCCCGTTGTGTCTACAGAATGCAGTGACTGAGACGGTGAGGGTCTCCGCCCACCCGGTCAATCATCATCGTGTTTGTAAGTGTGTTACCGACACCTCTCTCTCCCTGGCTGCAGCTGAAGTGTGGCGGTCAGAAAGCCTCACACTGTTGCTCAACGTTCGACAAGCACATAGTAACGCACAACGTTCCGTCCCCAGTAACGGTAACGGCGGGAAAAGTAAATAATTAGATTATTCCGTTGCCTATAAAAGAACGCCGTTAGAAACGCCGTTATAATTAAACGACGTTACTCCCAACACTGCTGGTGTTATAGCTGACCTAGTAAGACAGTGGACTCTTGTGCGGAAGACCTGGGTTTGATTCTGGATGTGATCATAGTTTATTTAGAGTTTATTTTTTACATTAATGGTATATTTTTTACAGTAAGATGCCCAAATTTTTATTTGAGACTCGCCGAACGGCATTGATTTAACAGATAAAAAACATGTGGGTTCAACTTTCATTTTGGAACAATTTTTCAAGCAAGAGAAAGGAAAGATCTGACCATGCAGGCAGACTGACCCATCTTAAACCTTTGTCGGCTGTGCTGAAGAGAAAGGTACAGAACCAAATTATTTAATTAACTGCGCTTCTCCTGTCCTCTGTCCTCCGGGCCACACACACACACACATGGGACTGTCTCAGCTGTTATTTTCATTAAGGAGAGCGCACGTACAGCATGCGCGCCTCTTGCACGAGTCTACTATTGAAGCTGCCGTTACGCTTTTGGCCTGAGGGGGCAATCATGAGCATAAAAATTTCAAACTCTGTAAAGTCCCTTTAAATCTGTAACTTTGATCCTGGGGAGCCTGTATCTCCTTCCTGAAGGGAGAAGGTAAAGAAGTAACAGAGTTGTGTTCAGACCCTGTCTCACATGAAAACCAGTAAGGGACATTTGTTGTTGACCAGTAATTCTACTCATGCAGCTGTAGTTCTGAATGAACAAGTTTCCATATGTTACATCCCCGACATGTGTTGTAGAAAGGTGAAGGATGGGGGTATCATAAGAACTGGCGGGAGTTTAAAATGGGTTTATTTGTACAAAAACGTATTAAAAACACAAGCAAACAGATCCCTCTAAAAGGTTAACATTACAAAGCAAACTATCAACTATAAAACACCTGGTAAAAACATATTTTAAAAGCTTTACCACAAGGGAAGGTGTTTAAAACCGAGGTCAGTAAAATTGCCACAAACAAAGTTAACCTTTTAAAAACCGAACACACAAAAGATCCCACTGGATCATCCACCATTTCTCACTGAGAGTTAAAAACAACCAAAGTTTAAAACTCAAACAAATCCAAACGAAAAGGGGTTGAAACAGAATAAAACCAGGAGGACAGCAGAACCCCTACACTGCTGCCTCCCAGACTGCTGAAGGCACAGCCTTTTTATACAGGTGTTGGCAATCAAGGAAGATTCCTCACAGCTGTGCTCCTCAGAGAGAGGAGGAGGAGGGGCGGTGTCAGGCTGATTCACCAGGGCTTGGTGATTCTGGCCGCTTCTCTCCACAGGCTAGCCTGGCATCTGTAACACCATTAAAAAAACTAATGAAGGCAGCACTGATTCAACCTTAGGGCCACAAAATAACACCTGTCCACATCAAAACTGTTCCGTTTCTTCAAGAAATTCAGTCTTTGTGCGTCTTTTGTTAACAAATCAGGGACACAGTATTTACATGTCCATGTTCTTCATTTTCTTTGTATCCAGTTTAGAGACTTTCTCACCGCTCTACTAAATCATCCACAACAAGCTCATATTCAGCCTCTCCGTCCTGCAGCAGACTGACCAACACAGTTTCATCTGTGACTTTAATCAGACGTCTACCAGGGGAATGGCTCCTGCAGCCATTAGTGTGCAGAAGAGAAGGAAAGGACCCACCCTTGTGGAGACTCCAGGAAAGACACCTCTCTCTCTGAAAACACTCCATTCACTCTCATCATCATTTTACCAAACCTTAACCGAGGTTAAAATCATTCAGTAGTGTGGAACAGAGAATGTGAGGCTGAATCGCATTAAAAACTGAGGAAAAGTCAGCAAATAAGAGCCTAACATGACATTTACCAATCTGCAAGTGTTTGCAGAGCGACTGCAGCATCCTCCACTCCTCTATGTCACTGATGTAAAAATGCATTGATTCCAGTTTTTCAGGAGTTCAAAAGGTTTCATCACCCAGGACGGAAATGCAACAGGCCTTTGGTCGTCAGGTTAATATGAAGGCCACGCTCAGTAATTTCTAGAAAATTTGCAATTATTTATGTGTCAAAAACAGTTTTACCGTTAGAATACATTAATAAAAAACACATATTACTGACTTCATACCAATTATTGTTTAATCAGCTAATATAAAGTAAAATATATTTGAAAAAAATTGGGGGGTGGGGGGTGGAATTGCATTATTATAATGTTATTCAATAGATTAAATTATAGTTTTGAACAAATTGTAAGACACCAATTCACTTTTATAATTTATGAAAATCAAATAAAGTCATTTCTACATTTTTCTGTCAGCAGACTTTACAAACTGCATATTTTTACTTTTTACTAAAAGGTTAAATATTATTGAGTCAATAAGAAAAAAAACAAGGTTTCTACAGATAATTAAATGCAAGTGATGAATGTTTCTGACGACTTGCTGCTTTAATTATTGAAACAGTGATTTTAAACTTAGTGTGGCTGTTTTCTACAGGAGTCTCAGTCTGATTGTTTCTCATGTGTTAAAAATGATTCTGTGTATAAATCAGTACGTGGTTTTATCAGAACGTGATGAAATTTACTGTGAGGTTTGATTTTTAATGAATCTAACCAAAAATAAATAAAATCTGTTATTACAAGTTTATGTTTGATGATTTTCACTTTAAGTAAAACTGCTTCAGAGCAGCTGTGGATCAGTTCCTCTTCAGCTGAAGGAGGTTTTTGTACAACGTTGCTTCACTGTGTGAACGGTAAGTTGTAATCCTGCTGACAGTAATAAACTCCTGCATCTGCAGGCTGAACTCCACTGATGGTCAGAGTGAAGTCAGTTCCTGAGTAACTTGCTCTAAAACGATGGAACTCCAGACTGACGAAGTGTTGTATCAGCAATCAGGAGTTTAGGAGCTTCTCCAGATATCTGAAGATACCAGTTCATGTCATCACCTATCAGTGTGTCAGTTTTACATCTGATAGAAACAGTTTGTCCTGCAGCAGCAGACTGAGCTCCTGGAGTCTGAGCCACACTGATTTCTCCTGATGAACCTGGAAATGATAAAAATGAGCAAAAAGATGAATAAACTTTAAAGGAATTTTATATGAAGAGAAGGATGTAAAGTGTTTCTCTGTTATTTAAGATCATCATTGTAGTGAACCTGTTTCCATCCTGAAACCAAGTTTTCATCAGAGAGTCTCACCGTGAACAAGGAGCCCCAGGGTGGTCAGCAGTAGAGTCAGTGACATCATCATTGTGCTGCCGGTGTGTCGGTGTCTCTGAAAGACCTGGACAGCCACTGATCAACACTGACCTCTTAACAGCTGGGAGCAGAGAGGCAGGACACATATGCAAACACACACAGTCAGTCGGCTGATCATCAGCTCTACATGTCATATTTCTACGTCTGTGACCTGCTTTTTGTCTGAAGGAGGTAAAAGAAATGGGATCAAATGAATTTCTGAAGAAAATTCTCATTGGAAAATGATCAAACACAACATTTTAGTCAGTCAGCTGATCACCAGCTGTCTCCATGTTTCCTCCTCTATGATGAGAATCTAGACTTTGATACTTGTTTATGAAAATTAATCAGTTTCTTTTTAAATAGTTTGTTATGCAGAGGTTTATTTGCACAAAAGAGTGAAATGATGTAAAACAGAACATTATTCATGTCTCATCTAATTAGGATCAGATTCAGGATAAATCTTCAAATCTTCTTTGCAATAATTTGACATTTTTAAAAAAAGGACTGGATTTTATTCATTTTCTTCTAGTCTTCCTGAAACACAAATGGTTGAGTTTTTTTTTATGTCCACTAATTTCATTCTTTTCAGTTATTTATTTGTACGTTAAGTTTTTCTCTCATTTAACAAAAAATCATCAACTCTTTTAAATCTAAAAGGTTTATTAAATTCAGCACATTTAATTATTTTATATTAAGATGAAATATCATTTTTAGTGTTTTGAAGGATGAAAGTGTTGCTACACGTGTTTATGTCATCAGTGAACTGCTGAAGCTTCCAGCTGTTAGTTTCTGTTCAGCCTGACTGAGGGAGGTTTTTGTACGACGGGTTTTCACTGTGTGAACAGATGCTGGCCGTTTATATAATGAAAACTCTGACAGTAATAAACTGCAGCATCTTCAGCCTGAACTCCACTGATGGTCAGAGTGAAGTCAGATCCAAATCCACTGCCTGAAAAACGATCTGAGATTCCTGATTGTCGGCTGGTAGCGCCATAAATGAGAAGTTTAGGAGGTTTTCCGTCTTTCTGTTGGTACCAGGCTAATTGGTTGTTGCTGTTATAAACATAGACATCCTGACTGGTCCTACATGAGATGGAGACGGAGCGTCCCACAGCAGAGCTCACTGCTGCACACTGAGTCACTGTGACCTGACCTCTGGACTCTGAGGAGACAAAAGCAGAAAGCAGCTTGATGCTTTTGTGGGCTTCATTCCAGAGGGACAGATGTTCATAGAGGAGAGGAGTTGGATTCTCTGGACTTTACCTGTGAAGCAGCAGCAGAGGAGAGTCCACATGAGGACGCAGATCAAAGTCATGGTTTTGATCAGGACGATTTCCAAGTCTTCTGTTGTGATGAAGGACAGCTGTCAGTCATCCGGTCTTCAACTCTCAGGACTATAAACTCTCCCAGAGCACTGGAGCATGGTGCTGCTGATGCAAAGTCATGCTCTATGGAAATCTGCTGACTCACTCCAGATAGGACTTGGATCAAAATGACGTTGTCATGTAATAAATCTGCTTTTGAATATTTCATGTTTCTATGTATTATTTTATTGTATGCTAGGAGGTTTGCTGTAAAACAATTTTTCAGTGATGAAAATAATCATCAGTCAGCAAATTATATGATTAGAATAATGAAAGATTTGACATTTTAACCCTCTCAGGCTCAAAATAAGTTTTGATAAAAGGACCAACAACTAAGTTCTTCAGCGGTACTTCTGAGTTAAAAATGCTCATGAAACACATATGTGGAGTAACCAGGTAGGTTTTAATGGTGCAAATCTGCAACGCCTGCCTCAAGAGGGTTAAGGGATTGTTATGTCTTCATCCAGATCCACTTTTCACATCTGAACAATTTTCCCTATTTTACAATATTTATATTGAAAGAATGTGAAACTGATATTGATTATGTTGGTGGCTGCTCTGTGCTTCCATTAGGATGGAGTCCAATTTAAATTGTTTATTTTAAAAACAACATTATTGTGAAGCAACAGCTCATGTTTTGTTGTTAATGTTTACTTTAAAGAGTTTATACTTAAGGATCAACAATTGTGCTGCTTTACAAATTTCAAAAGCTAAAACTGGAGAGTTTGTTTGTGTCAGACTCACAGAGCCGTGTCTCTCTGAGGTTTTTGTACGACGACTCGACCAGTTTGTATCACTGTGGTGGACGTTTGGTGGAGGAACCAGACTGGATGTTGGAAGTAAGTTTAAATTAATTCTCTTCTGACTTTAAAATATTGCATTTTCATTCTTTAATTTCTTCTTATAAAGTAATTCTATAACAGAAATATATTTTTTAATTGCTTTAGAAAAATTATGATCCAAAATTATCATCATGGTTCTACACATAAAATTGTGTTTGATGTAACATGAATCGACTGTCTGAAGAAAAATGAACATAATTTATGTTTTAGGTGAAGTTTTATTTTGAAGGTTTGTAGTTTTAGTTCAGTGTAACAAACTCAGAGAGCCGTGACTCTCTACAGTCAGAGGTTTTTGTACGACGGCTCAGTTTGTGTCACTAGAACCAGAACCAGATTTCATGTTGGAGGTAAATTAAAATGATATTAGAAACATAAAAATTTGCGCTCTTAAATAGTTTTGGTCTCTGATGAGAAGCTAAAGATTTTAGGCTGATAGTTCAGTAGAGTTTTATTAATACTAGCAAGAGTCTGTTTGTGTCGTCTTCTATTAAAATTTACTTACCTCATTTAATATTTATTCAGTTATTCTGAATTAGGATTAATATTTTGTTGTTAAATGGTAAAACAAACTCTGTTAAAATTACAAAAACCTGTAAAAATATTTTATCCACTTGATTAAAAACTGATGATTCTCTTCTAGCTGATAAACTGACAGGTTTCTATAAAGGAAGTGAAACAAGGTGTGAGAGTCAGACTGGTGGAGCAGAAGAACATCTGCTAGAAACTTCCTGATGAGAAAAAGTCAAACTTCTTCTGATCTCTAACCTGATTGGTGTCTCCTAGGTGATACCCGTCCCATCCTGACGGTGCTGCCTCCCTCCAGTGAGGAGCTGCAGCAGGGGAAGGCCACGCTCATGTGTCTGGCCAACAAGGGCTTCCCCTCAGACTGGAGTCTGTCCTGGAAGGTGGACGGCAGCAGCAGCAGCTGGGAGGAGGACAGGAGCCCCGTGGTGATGAAGGGCGGCCTCTACAGCTGGAGCAGCACCCTGAGGCTCACTGCAGACCAGTGGAGGAAGGTGGGCTCTGTGACCTGTGAGGCCACCCAGGGCTCCCAGTCTCCAGTCTCAGAGTCACTCAGGAGAGACCAGTGTTCCCAATACTGATGGGACTCACTGCATTAACTCTCTTACTTTTCTCAATCTACCATCTATAACAACTTTTTAATTTTGTTTGAAATGCTTTAAAGGTTTTGGAGAAGTAAAAAATATGTATCCATCAAATCCCTGTTTAATGTAGTTTTTATTTATACAGAATGGAATTTTCTGGGATATTGGGAATTTTCCACAGCCAAGTTTCTCTTCTACAGACAAACGTTGGAAATCATGTTCTGGTGTTATTTTGCATTTCTGAGTTTTAAATGCAATAAACTCAAATTTGTTTATAGCATCAAGACTGTTTGACCTTTTTAAGGAACCTTTATTAAATAAAAATAAAGCTATTTCTCTTTTCACTAAGTTATGATGTTTTGAATTGTTAATGTTTTGGTGTTGGGCGGGTTTGAATCTGGTTATATTAAAAATTTGTAGAGAAATAAACCCAAGTCATAAATCACTAGTCTGTAAGCCCTTTTTAGAAGAAAGACCTTGTCAGCAAATCAGAGTAAAACTGCCACCACAGAATTATGAGCGCCGTACGGCACGGCGATGCAGGACTTCCGTGTCTCTCATTCCGCTATGGTTGGTAATAATATTGGCAAAACTCCGGACTATGCTTTGTCACAACAGAGGGTGGTGTCTTCATCATGTGGGGAGTTACTACCGAGCTCCAGCCGGCAACTATATGAAAAATCAAACACAGGCCGTAAGTTTTGTTTTTGTAAACAGAATAAGCTGAGATGATAAAATGGAGTGATGCAGAGCTCTAGGAGCTTCTCTGTTACAGCTGGAGCTCAGACCACCAGAGGCTTCACGGGGACTGTGGAGGACAGACACCTTCAGGAGCAGCTCATCAAAAACACTTTGATCGTAAATAAGCAAGTTATGTCCAAACATGAACGGATGTCCGTGGTAGAGACTGTTCCCATACCCTCTATAGACCACCACTGTGTAATCTTTTGTATAAGGACATGATTGAGCCACATTATCACCACAGTCTGACCACTTAAAGCTCCCTGATGCCGGCTCAGCATTGCTGCAAAATGTCTGCATTACTTTTTAAATGAAGCTATTGGTTTAACAGCGGCAGTTTTATGTGATTTAGGAAAAATACCTGACATTAAGGAATGGTTAATAATTTTCAAGTCATCAGCTTTTAAGCAGCTAAAACATTTTAGAAGAAGTTAGTTGGCAGGGTGTCCAGACATCAAGTAGATGAGATTAAGGCCTTAACTATGTTCTCCAGCGTTTTAGCACTAATCACACTGAAAGCTGGCATTCTGGCCACATTGTTGTTGTGTGGCTTTAGCTGTGATCTGGTTGTGTTAGTTGACGTGGAGAAATCAGATTTTGATCTGACGTTTATGATTTTCTCATTGAAAAAGGATGTCGTGTGCCCGTCCCATTTACCGGTTCCTTTAAAACCCAGTTCCGTTAGAACTTATGAGACGGTGCATCCATCAGGGTTCGGGGGTGTATCGACGAGTATAATTGTACTAGATCCGGGTTTGGACTATCTAATTAGAATCTTGTCTTTTATTTTAAAGGTGAAATGACTTGCACGAATAGCCAGCCCCAGAGTACTACACTTCTTTTAAACTCGTTACCTTTTGGTTAAGATACTAGAGAGAAGTCTGGAGGCAAGCCAAGCCTCTCAGCAATTGTTTGGGCTACCCGGAATTAATTGCGCCTCTAACAGCTTATGTGGGAGGTTGGTAACTATAAAATGATTTATGCTAGTTGATCAGGCTATCATAAGTTTATCAATTTATTTATTAATCCAACCTTCCAGCTGATTAGAGACTTTTTCAACCTGCAATCAGAGCCAAAATAACCTCGAATATTTTGCTTTTATCGCCCTTAAGACAACTCGTTACTCGCAAGGAGGGAGAAGTTAAAACTTCCCTTATCTTAAGGTTTCTTTATATTATTCTGTTATAAACTGTAAAGTAAGTCCTGATAATTCAGAGACCGATCTTCGACATGCTTACCTCTGCGCAATTTATGGCCAGGGCTCCATACGTGAAGCTTTAGAGAAAACCTGAAAGAATCAGGATTATGTTTCTTTTTCAAAAAAGGTTTATTACAAAATCAAAATACAAAAATGGGTAAAGTGAAAAACAACTACTATCCCCCACGGAGGAATTAGTTCAAAATGATTAAATAAGAGTCAGTTTACACCAGCTCTTGTCTTCTCAGAATCTCCCCAAGAACGAAGCGAAGCCGAAGCCCAAAGACCAAAAAGACCCCTGCTCGATCTGAGCTGCATCCTTTTATATCATTTCTGAGACTGCTCTAAACAATGCAAGAGTCACAAGTCATTCTCTCCTGACAGTTTAGGTCAAGGGGTCATTTACCAAATACACTTTTTTAGCTCTACATAAGACATTTAGTATCATTTCACTACATGCAGTATTCACATGAGGGCACAAAAGTTACATGCTGCACTCCTGGAATGAGAGCACAGGTCATAAATCTTCATGTTGGTAGCAAATTGTAGATCTTCTTCCAGCATTCCTGAGAGCTCCTGGGTCCAGCTGGACTTCTACTCACTCCATGCCATTCCTTCTTTTCCCGCCAGAGGTGGAGTTAGGGGCGGGCCCAGGGGTGTGTCCATGGGTGGATCCAGAGGAGACAGCTTGTCTTTTGACCCTTTGCCTAGTTCTGTCCTCACCAGCAAGTCCTGAACTCCTGTCCTCTTGACCCTTGTGTGACCCTTGTCTCTGACCACTGTTTCTAAGCCTTGACTGGTTGCTCGGGCTTGCAACATCCCCCATGAGGACGAACTGAGGCAAAGGACCATAAAAAGATAGAGCAGCAATGCAAGCTTTCATAAATCTAGCATCCATCTCACTCAGGAACGGCTGAACACTCAGACACCTAACTGTGGCCTCCACATCAACCCTCATTCTCATCATAATGCCATCATCAGCTACGGGTAAGCACAAGGTCCCTTTGCGGGTTGTTACATAACCTTTAAAATGCTTTCTCCCATCTGTGGGATCTTCGCCCAAAAAGAATAAAGATAAATCCATCACCGGAGCTTCTCCACGTGGAAGCGATCCCATCATTTGAGGTGGGAAGCTGGCGCTGAAAACCAACACATGATTTTTCGTATCCAACAAAGGTGCGGTCCCAAAAGAGTCACAGACTTCTGGGCCGAACCATCCAGTCTTTACAGACAAAATATTCATAAACTGAAAGCAATCTATAATCTTGCCTTGACAAACAAAGTAACACCCCTTCTGGGATTTAATCCTCCATCTCATTTCTCTCCCAGGTGCAATTCGGACAGGGGAAGGAATGCCTGCCGGCTCACTACTTAGACAGACCATAGGGATTTCACGTATCACATCAGGACACGGGATGCATGTCGAAGCTGCCGTCATTACTGATACAACCTCTTCAGCCACGTCAGATGAGGGCGCCGTTGTCAGCTCCTCGTCGTGGGCCTGCTCAAGCAGGGCATCTACTCCCGGGGAGGACATTAGTATGTCGTCTTCCTGATCAGTCTCCCGCTTGAATCCCTTTTCCATTTGGTTTGGATGTACTGAATAAACCTGCAAGACACGCAGCGTTTATTCATCGTAGCATGTTCACACTGGAGCCCGATTGTCTTAGTCTGAGTCAATCCATCCCTCCCGCGATTCACGGTGCACAAATAGTATGCGCCATTCAGAGAGAAAACAGTTGATGGACCTGCGGAGGGGATTAATCCCTCTATGATATTCTGCCGAATCGAGTCCATCTGGAAGGAACATAAAATTTGTTCCACATGAGATATATAACTCATTCCATGAAGCAATAAGTAACTGCATTACTGCATAAACACTTCTTAATTATAGGAGAAAATAAATCATCAGAAGCTGCAGGAAGAACCACACTACAATTCCTATCTGCAGGCATAGTTTTACAACAATAATCCTCACAACAAGTGTACACCAGTTATGAAATGTCTACAACATCCTAAAGACAAACTGGATAAAATAGTTACAAAATCCTGACATACCTCCAGATTCAGAGCATCAATCAGCTCAGATTCAGGGTGAGTTTGATGAGCCATTGGTTCACTTCAAGTTACAGACTGACAGTTAAGGAGCAAGTGACACGCGGTGCAGAGAGGCCTGCACTTAAACAGGAGCAACAAGAAGGGGGGCTAATGCTCCCTCTACCTTGACACCTCTCTTCCCATCTTATCTGGATCTACCAGGTCCTTTCTCCTTTCTCCTAACAGCTTTCTTCCTGTCAACTGCCATTTGTTGTTTTTACAGGCCAAAATCATACCGATTATTAAAATAATCACCCCACACATTAATCCGAGAGCGCAGAGGGGCCAGAACAGAGCGTCCCAGACAGGCCTAATGATGTGCTCTCTCACTCCTTTTACCAACATGCCCATTGAATCAGAAGTTCCTTGAATTACATTGTTAGAAACCTGCACTACACTGTCACTCATAATTTCATTCACACCACGTACTATCAGACTCACATGACGTAATGTGCCATTTATGCCATATGCAAAATAATCAAACCAGTCAGCTTTTTGCTGATCTAACGATCTTCGAAATGGTGAGCAAAAACCACTTCTCAGATCCCAATTTGGGAAATTTCTGAAGTTAGGAAACTCTTTGGGTGCATCAGGGTCAATTGTGAATCTTTCAGGTTGAGGATTTTTCCCTATTCTAGGTTCATTAAAACACACATGATGGTCTATGCCTAACCCGTTAAGGTAATTGAAATTGACCAGACTAAACGCTCCCCACTTCGTCGTTCCTGGCGCTGTAAATCCAGGTGGCACTAAGTCTCCAACTTTATCATTCATAATCATTATACGATCTAAAAGACCATTTCCTGTTTTTGTATCATTTACTTCCCAAGTATTTGTTTTATCAATAGAAAACCAATTTGTTTTAACTCGAAGTTGACCATGTTCCATCACAAGAGTTTTAGTTCCCACTAATTTTCTTTCAAAGGTTTCTGCTTCAATCCTTGTGTCCTGGGGGTAATAATCATATTTTTGCTTA